TTTTGGAAATATGAACTATAATTGTACGAAAAGTACTGAATTGTACTATTTTGGTATTGGGTGAAGGGATAGAGCGAGAAACCCTGAAATTTGATATGGATGTCACTGTTGGTGTCTGTGTTATTGGAAATGCTTTCTATAATTTTTCGAAAATACCAAGTGGTACTAAATTTGGTATTGGGTAAAGGAATAGAGCTGGAATCCTGAAATTTTATATTGAGACCTCTGTTGGTATCTGAGATTAATATATAGTGCTGTTGTTTCCGATATGCGTACTATAATTGTTCTAAATGGTACTAAATTTGACATTGGGAGCAATTACAGAGCTGAAATTTTGAAATTTGTTGTTTTGAAAATGCGTACGATATTTGAAGTTTTGTTTGGAGATTTTGTCCAAGAAATAATGAACAAATTGTGCATTTTGAGTATTGAGAGTCTGAAAATTCAGGTTTTGATTAAAATAATTTGTCAAACTGAACAAATTATACATTTTGAGTACTACTACGAAACTAAAATTTTTGGACTGTCTTTTCACTGATGAAGTATAGTATATATAAATCTAGTATATATAAATCATAAGCTTGTATATATAAATCTATTGTTGTATCTAAGATGTTTTTTTTGTGACAATTTTGATAACGTTTTCTTTTTTCATTTGATGAAAATGGCTACAAAATTCATCGATGTTTAGCATCATGCTCCAAATCAAAGAGAGAGAGAGAGTCTCCGAGATTAAATGGTGCAATTTTGGCAGACGATCACTGGAAACATGTACTGAACACAAGTCATCCGTTTAAGAAGAACAATCGATAAAAAGTAACCAGAATATTCGACCAGACACGAAAATGGCCTGTATATCTTAGTGAAGCCACTTGAATTTGACACAGTGAAAACTTATCTTAACATTGATGAATACTAATTCCATTGCCATCGATACATCAAAATGAAATTGGCATTAATGTAACTAATTCAGATGTAGAAGTGATGGGTATCATGTAGCCGGCTCGTCAAATTTTTTATACCCTACACCACAAGGTAAAAGGAAACGAGATAGACCCATAGTTCCTTTTGATGATCTGCATAGAATCACATTTTGAGTCGATTTATGCATGTCCGTCCGTCCGTCTGACCATGTATTCTTGTGAACAAAATGCAGGTCGAATTTATTATCCGATTGAGATGAAATTTTCCAAACAACATTTGTTTGGCCCAAGGACGAACCCTATTGAAATTGGAGATAATCGCCCAAAATTTAGATATAGCTCCCATATATATCTTCGTCCGATTTGCCTTTTATTGTACACCAAACGTGTAATATCAGTCCGAATAGTATGGAATTTTGCACATACAACCAAATTGGGCCTGAAAATATGTATGCCAAATTTGATCGAAATCGGTTCAGATATAGCTATAGCTCCCGTATATACTGTTCATCCGATTTGTTATATTTGTTACCCACAGCCGTAATATGCACTCTGTAGCAACAATATTTGGGGAAATATATCAAATACAGCTCAGAAATACATTTGCTAAATTGTATCGAGATCGGTTCCGATTTGGATATAGCTCCCATATATAACTTCGTCCGATTTACCTTTGATTGTGCACCAAGCGTCTAATATTTGCCCAAATGGGATGAAATTTGGCATTTACGACCGAATTGAGTCTAGAAGCTAGTATGTCAAATTTGGTGAAGATCGGTTCAGATATAGCTATAGCTCCCGTATATACTGTTCATCCGATTTGTTATATTTGTTACCCACAGCCGTAATATGCACTCCGTAACAACGATACTTAAGGAAATATATCAAATACATCTCAGAAATATATTTGCCAAATTTTATCGAGATCGGTTCCGATTTGGATATAGCTCCCATATATATTTTTATCCGATTTCAAATTAATTGTGCACCAAATGGGCAATACAAGTCCGAACAACAAGGTAGAAATGCTTCGGCATATTTAGTCCTTTGAACTTTAAATTATAATTATAATCATAGCGTGTATGATTGAATTCTCCCATAAAAACTTTTAATTTTTATGCGGAGCTCTACTAAATTAGCAAAGTGGTGTAGGGTATCATAAAGTCGACCCGCCCGACTTTAAGACTTTCTTTACTGGTTTCTTGCTTGCTTTGTCTCTTCCCCCTTCATTTGTTTGTCGTAGAGTAATAATTGATTTACGTGTTAGTTATATCAGGCATTTGCCATAAATTTCCTCAGATAAATTGTTTGTCGTAAGAAAACACCAAATTACTCTAATAAATTATTATTAGACAAAAAAAACGAGGAAACAAGTTAAAAATTATCAGTCGGTTTTGCCGACAGATGTACAGGGTGAGATGAAAAAACTGCAACAAACTTCAGACAGCTATAATTTCTAAGCCACTCGTCCGACAGCTGTTAAAATTATTTCATTGACAGCTCATTATATTGTTTACATTGCGTAAAAAAGTATTTTGGTGAGAATTTTCCGGAAAAAAAGTTATTCGTGATGGAATTCAAGCGTGACAGTGTGATTTCTTTATATTTGGGTGGAAACCCAAAATTGTGGCTATCGTTAGAGCACTCCAGCGTTTAAATGTGAATAAATCTTTTGTGTTTGTACTATCGCTCGTTACCGTGATACTGGTAGCGTAGACCGACTTCAAGGAAGTGGACGGAAAAAACAGCAACATCAGCAGAAATGGTTCGAAAAGTAAAGAAGAAACTTGATCGAAACCTGCGTCGCAGTGGGCGAAAAATGGCTCGTGAGCTGAACATATCGCAATAGTCCATTTGGCAAATATTGAAAAATGAGCCATTGAAATTCCAAAAAGTGCAAGAACTTACACCGCAACAGAAAGAAAATAGACTAAAACCAGTAAAGAAAGTCTTAAGGTCGGGCGGGGCCGACTTTATGATACCCTACACCACTTTGCTAATTTAGTAGAGCTCCACACAACAATTAAAAGTTTTTATGGGAGAGTTCAATCAAACACGCTACGATTATAATTATAATTTAAAGTTCAAAAGACTCAATATGCCGAAACTTTGTATCTTTTAAATTCGGACTTGTATTGCCCATTTGGTGCAAAATTAATTTGAAATCGGATAAAGATATATATGGGAGCTATATCCAAATCGGAACCGATCTCGATAAAATTTGGCAAAGATATTTCTGAGTGGTATTTGATATGTTTCCCTGAAAATCGTTGTTACGGAGTGCATATGACGGCTGTGGGTAACATATATAACAAAACGGATGAACATATATATGGGAGCTATAGATATATCTGAACCGAACTTCACCAAATTTGACATACTAGCTTCTAGACTCAATTTGGTCGTAAGTGCCAAATTCCATCATATTTGGACAAATATTAGACGTTTGGTGCACAATAAAATTTAAATGGGACGAAGTTATATATGGGAGCTATATCCAAATCTGAATCGATCTCGATAAAATTTAGCAAATGTATTTCTGAGTTATATTTGATATATTTCCCCAAATATTGTTGTTACAGAATGTATATTACGGCTGCGGAGGACAAAAATAACAAATCGGATGAACAATATATATGGGAGCTATAGCTATATCTGAACCGATTTCGATCAAATTGGGCATACTTATTTTCAGGCCTAATTTGGTGGTATGTGCAAAATTCCATACAATTTAGGCTGATATTACACGTTTGGTGCACAAAAAAGGGCAAATCGGACGAAGATATATATGTGAGCTGTATCTAAATTTTGACCGATTATCTCCAATTTCAATAGGGTTCGTCCTTGGGCCAAACAAATGATCTGTGCAAAATTTCATCTGGATAGGGCAATAAATGCGAACTGTACAGACGGACAACGGACATGCATAAATCGACTCAGAACGTGATTCTATGCAGATCATCAAAAGGAACTATGGGTCTATTTCGTTTCCTTTTGTCTGTTACAAACAAATGCACAAAGACATAATACCCTGACCACCTTGTGGTGTAGGGTATAAAAAGAGCTAAAGAGTCGATTCGCTTAGCCGAAGGTGGTGAACTGCCAAATTTTGTTTTCTCCTTTGAGAAAACATTCGTTGTCCAGCAGTTTGTAAACAAACAAAATTATCGTGTTTACTTGCCAAAGAGGTCAGCTGAAAACTTGCACTTTCGGTTGGCTACCAGAACTCAAGCGCCGGCCATGGTGTGGGCCGCCTTAACAGCCGATGGTCGCTTTCCGCTCGTATTAATCGACTGTGACATCAAAATAAATGACCAATATTTTCGCGAAAACTTTTTGGCCACAGACCTGGGACATTCCAACAGGACTCAGCACCACCGCACAAAGCACGCTCCTCCCAAGAATGGTTGTCATCAGAATAAATGACCAATATTTTCGCGAAAACATTTTGGCCTCAGACCTTGGACATTCCAACAGGACTCAGCACCATCGCATACAGCACGCTCCACCCAAGAATGGTTACAAAATGAGGTACCTCGCTTAATTTCCAGCTGACAATGACCACCAAAATCTCCGAATACCAATCCGTTGGAATATTGTGTCAAATCTAAACTTATTTTAAAATTTAAAGCTATTTCCGACATTTTTTGCTTTTATTCAATAAAATTTAAAAAAATGTAAAAACTGTGGCGTTTGACATTGTTGCAGTTTTTTATGTCACCCTGTATATTTTCTGTAGCCATATGTCTGAGGGTATGAAAACACTAAGTTCGATCGGGCTGGACTTTTAATAACCTCCACTGGCATCCTCCAAGGACTGTCGGACGGGCGGACGGACGGACATTTTATTGACTTAGAATTTCGTGTTGATCACGAATGTATACCTTATAGGGTCACCGACTAATATTTCGAGTTGTTTTAGACGGACTGACAAAATTAATATACTCTCCTTACAGTAATTGAGAGAATAAATATAAATTCTCATCGGTTGCTACTCTCAAAGTAAGACCCTAACTATAATAAAATATGCAATAAAAACAAATAATATAAACATTAATGGTTAATGATTTTATTTTTAATATTATTTCTTATTTTCCTTAAAACTTTTTTCCGATTCAAATTCTTCTTCGATAATACAATTTCACCCATAAACACCAACAACGATACGACATGCAGAACCAAAAGACCTTTAAATATAATTAACATTTTGGTCAGTGACAGTGGTTCGGGCTCTGTATTTGGAACATTTTTCACTGAGACCGACACCTGAATTTGTTCTCCGACCTCCTCCAGCCATTTCTTGATTAAGCCCCCCGAATGCAGAGCGTCAAAAATTCGATCAAACGGTTCAATTAAAAACGATTTTGGCCTGAAATAGGCACACATTTGATTCCAGATTAGAATGTGCGGAATTATTTCAAATCTGTCATGCATATTGTGAGTTTTGAGAAAGTTCTGAAACAGCCAGTAATCGGTCATTATGGCATACGGATGTGGAGCTTGGAGTTGGGCAATAAAATCACTCTGAGTTTCGGAAACGTCTGTGAATACGATTTGTGTTGGGGGAATATTTAAAGCTTCTATCAAATCTCCTCGGAAATACCTTCGAATGTGGAATGTGTAGTTGTCTGCTACTAAATCCTCCACTGTATGGGCTGGCGGGACCACATCAATATGAAAGGCTCCATACAATTTACCCTGAAATGCACCCCACACAATGACAAATCCAAAAGTCCATAGCATAACAAAATATTTTGTACCCATGCTATGATAGCGGATGTTTCGGGAACTGCCCAAAGCCAGGCCAACCACATCCAACCATGAGTTTTGAGCCACAACAGCATTGTTTGGAGTGTAACGAAGCACCAGGAATGTTGTTAATCCAAACATCAGCGAGACTAAGAGCAGCAACCAAACATCATTTTGGAATGGAACCAACAGCCATCCACCTTCGAAAGTGCGTTTCTCTCGCTTGGGTATCACCAACACCAATGGTGTTAGTAAATACGGCATGCTCACGCCAAACCTTCTAGCCCGAACCTTAGAATGATAATAGCCCACAAGTACATCAATTTTTCCCTGGGTCATTGCCAGGAATGGCCCTGTTATAGTACCATTTTCGAATACAAGGCCAATGGTTGCGCCTCTCGACTGTTGCAGCCGTAATTTGAAGTTAAGCTTTTTCGCCATGATTCTCAAAATCCATGCCTCCAAACCCCAAAAATTTGTTAATTCCCCATTAACGACATCGAGGGAATAATTGAAATATGGTTCGGTTAGATGCACAAAAACATCAATGGGACATTTATGTAAATTTTGTAACTTTATGGGGAAAATGTCGCTCCTTGTCAAATGGCCGCCCTCAAATGTGTTAATTTTTTGTATAACCACATGTCGACATTTGGAAGGATGAAAAACATCATAGGAGTATAATGTGAAAATAAACCGCTTCCGGTACATGGCCACTGTAATATCGAGGATCCTGTGTTCGTAGGCGTGTTGAAAAATTCGCTGCAGTTCCTGGTCCCCATTCAGATGTTTGGCAGTTTTCATAACCACCATATATTGACCCAGTTTTTGTACATATTCATTTCTCCCAATTGCCGGCAAGAGAGCGCTGAAAGAAATACAAATAGTTATTATCATTTATCCAAAAAAGATAAATTTTCATTTAGTTATATTTTCGGTAATACTGTGAACAAAAACAAACCAGGAAGACTATGAATGTACAGCTAACAAGTAAAATAGCAGCTAAGTTCGGCCGGGCCGAACTTTTAATACCCTCCACCATTTGGAACGAATTTAGCAATACTCAAAAACAATAAAATCCGTTAAAAATTCTGTTAAAATATTAAAAATACCGAATGTAGCTGTTATATTAGGGTCTATACAACGACATGGACCTGCATAGGTAACATTTGCCATAATCCATTACAATATTCAATGCGAAACCTAAAAAAAATCGGTAATAATGTAGCTGAAATCATCAAAATACCGTATATCGGGGCTCTACGAAAACGTGGACCTGTCTTAGGCTGTAGTATCCATAACGAACTTTAAATGTAAAATTTTAAACAATTCCGGTTAATAATGTCGCTAAAATCAACAAAATACCGAATATCGGGAGTTACCGTTATATGGAGCTATACCAAAACGTGGACCTACGTGGTCCAAAAGTTCTGCAGACATAACATACATTTGAGTAAAATTTTATCAATCTACTTCAATTCGTTCGGAAGCTAGAGTGATTTCCACAGACGGATAGACGGACGGACGTCGCTAAATCGACATAGGATTTTATGCTGATCAAGAATATATATACTTTTTATGGTCTAAAATGTATATTTCGAGGTGTTACAAAGTTCGTCATCTTAATATACCCTCCATACTATGTACAGCGGAGGGTATAAAAAAAGAGGACGCGTATATTGGCACTTTAGTGTTTAGAGTTTAAATTGAAAAGTAAACAAAATAGAGGGGGTAAGTTTCCCCCTCTTCTATTATTTTTTGGAAATTTTCGGATTAATGTTCCTCGGAATCCGTGCACTTTAGTGTCTTCGGCAATATTGCAGATATTAATAGGTAGAAACTAAATTATTTGTCATAAAATTCTACTATATGTAGTAGAAGACGTAAAGAATCTGAAGCATAGCCACAGGCCAGGAATTCGTATATATTAAAATCAGAAGAGAAAGGTCCAGAGTCAGGCGGGACTGTATGATGCCAATATGAATATTTAGTAGAGGTACCCATAACAAATAAACGTTTTATGGGGAATTTATAATCGTTTTTTGAATGAGTATTATGGCTTTAAAGAAGATATAATTTAAAGCCGAGAGGCACTAATAAATGGAAATATATCCTCCTCTTAGTCAATTTCTACTAAATCTGATGGGCTAAGAAGATATTCATTAAAATCCATCTTAATTGAGCTGATATCAAAATCGAATTAAAATTAAGATATATGGCAGCTATATTCACATCTGAACTGATCTCTATAAAAATTAGGAGAGGTTTTTTATGAATTTGTGCAAAAATCTCCCACAAAGCCTTATTTTAGAACGATGACGCCAGAAACAAAAATATTCTTCATAAATCTCTATTCCACTCTCTCTATTTCCACTGCATATCAAAAACTTTTTTGCATCAAAGTTCTCAAAATAACCCGAAAATATTTCCATATTTCTATACCCTCAGTCATATGGCTAGAGAGGGTATATATATTTTGATAAGGCCAAAACGTGCCTCATCGAATTAACGGTTATAGATCCTAGGTCTTTTTGAACCAAATCCGTTTCAGGACATTTGGAGTCGATCTAGCGATGTCCGTCCATCTGTCTGACTAGTGCGCACGATAACTCTCTGAGAGAATTTGAGATTTGGTCCAAACTCGGTAACAGACAAAACCAACTTACATGGTTATGCTACTTCGTTCAGGTTGAACGAAAGCATAACAAGTGGAGAAAGATGAAAATGTTTATAAGTGCGGTTGTAAGATTTAGAAGACTTTCCAAAAGAATTTTAGTTTTATATAATTCTTTGGTTCCTCTTCTATTGAGCTTACGATCTCGTCACTTGGGTAAAAAAAAGGTTTTTGTCATAGAAGTTATTTTTAAAATAACTTCTGGGAAGAATATCCCAGACAAAAACAAGGGAACTGATGAGGATTGGTGGCTCTTTCCGAAACCTAGGTATTCCCTGCCTTACCCCCTGGTAAACATTACCATCGTTCTCCACTAATAAACAAACGTTGTTTTTATAAAAACAACAATAAAGGGATAAGCCTGACCATTTTGCAACTCAAAATTAACATCCAATTCCAGATGTATCAGAAGGTGTTCGCAGATATATATCATCTTCACAACATATCTTGTGTTAGCAAAAAAGTTTGTCTGGGTGAAATTTGAAGATTGTTGGTGCTTACTTCGCTCTCTTTGAGCGTTTTGTTTTCAAAATCTTGAAACCTATCTGGGGAGGTACCAGAACAAATGGCCTGATCTTTTTCATATTTATAACAGATCTTGTGTTGATAAAAATATTGAGATGTGCCAAGTCTGAATAGAATCGGATTTTTAATTCGCGTTTTATGAACTTCATGGATATTCAAAATGTTGGCCCTTTGTGACTGTACAAGAAGGAGTAAGCCGATATATCCCATCTTCACAGCAGATAATTTTTGAAATGTGTGAAATATAGAGAGAATCGGATTATTTCCGATTTTATAATCGTTTTGGTTATTCAAAACGTTGACCCTTAGTCGGGGAGGTACCAGAAGGAATGGTCCGATCTCTACCATCTTCATAGAAATATTGATATGTGCCTAGTCTGAATGGATTCGAATGATTATTTTGTATTTTATGTGCTTCATGCATATTCAAAATGTTGACCCTTTGTGGGGGAAGTACCAAAAGGAGGGGACCAATATATTTCATCTTCATACCTAATCTTGGGTAATCGTAATCATACATCACATTTTATCAGATAAGAAATTAAGATCATTTGTGGAGGAGATACTTGATGGAGTGGAGCGACATTAGGAGTTGATTTTTTGAAAATTTCGACCTTTCTTGTGGGTGGTTTCAGAAGGACTGGATAATATTACGATGTACCAAGTTTGAACCAAATCTGATACTCTCTTCGAGAGTTATTGTGCGCTCCTGCCAGCCAGCCGGACGGACGAACATCCAACTGCAAATGTCCTGAATATTTATAGTATGAATAGATTAATATAATAACTATACTGTAAAGCATTTCCTTTCAGATGGCAAATTGGGTGCAGCGCCTTAAAATATGTTTGTAAAATGGTTAACATAAATGTAGGAAAAGTAGTTCTAACTGTATTTGGATACTAGCCTCAAGTTACTCCCGCAATTGTTTTACTTGTCTTTTCATATCGCATTATACAATACCGTCACTTACCAAAATGCCTTATACGAATCCACATACCATAAGTTATAGCCATACAGCAGGCTTTGCTTATTCCCCTGGCTAGAAGTTTCAAATTTCATTGAATCTCTTCCAGCAAAAGCCAACGTAATGTAACGCTCTATTTCATGCATCCAATCTCAGGAGTATTCCAAATAGACGGCCACTCCAAGGATATGAGTTTTAGTTCGAAAATAATCTGCAACTACCTTTTCGAAACTTTGATTTGCAATGTTTAATTGTATGCCCCATTGTTTCAAACAAATTTCGGATGTCACAGATTTAAAAATTGAATAACAATTACACAGAAATATTGTGAATTTGCCAAGGTTCATGTTGAACGAGTAACATTGTCTGACTTACGGCTGACTGACATTGGGGAAATTTTGTGGCGAAATTATTTCATCCACTGGTATTCTTTTTGAAAATATTTGCAAATCATTCTTTGTCTTTAAATGCTGGTGCAGAAATTGTGGTAATTAAGCGTAACTATTATTTAATTCTCTCATATTTTTTTATTATTTTTTATTGATTAGATTTGATGCAATAGGTTGGTATGACAAAAGGAAAAACGACATAAAATGGTAGATTGGAAAAAATACGTTATTAACAGTTTGTGGAAATGTATGTAGGGGCGCTGTCCTCAACAGAGGCTTGTTAATATTAATATCTGTTAATATTAATATAACATCTCCGTAACTGTATCGACTCTAAATTTTTGAATTGCAAGCCCCAGGCGACATAGCGTTCGTTACTATTGCAGATAATTGTCAACGCTCAGATGAAACGGCTGTAGTTAGAATCTTGAAATTTTGCTCGAGGGTCAGTTTTGGTGCGTAGACTCAAAGAACTAAAATAGTAAAGAAGAGACAAAGGCTATACAAAAGAATACTTTGTATTTAACAAACGAAATGAGTTGGGATTCTGAAATTTGGAATGGAAATCGATGAAGGAGTGTCGGATAGATGTACCTAAGGGTGTTTGGAAATTCGAACTTTGCGGTTACGAATAGGTTATGGTTACGGTTATGCGATAGAGACAAAAACTTGAAATTTGGTATGAGGCTGGAAAGCAAGTGTGTGAACTGTACTAAATGGTACACAATTTGGAAAAGCTTGGCGTAGGGTGAACGGATGAAGATGGAATTTTCAAATTTTATAGGTCCCTGTTGGTATAGGGGTCCCTGTTGGTGGTAGGTTTGTGATAAAGAGGTGTTTTTGGAAATGTGTACTACAAGTGCCCGAAAAGTACTAAATAGTACTATATGAAAGAAAAAATGTATCCTTTTTTTAGAATAAGATTAGAATAAGATTAGATTTGCTCGAATTGGTCACCTTTGGCACGAATTATGGCCAACGAAACCGTCACACCCTGCCCGAATGTTGCTCTGCGGTATTGTGTGTGCTTGAGGTGATCGACACTTTCGTATTTTTTAGTGCCAACCTTGCTTTCCAAAATACTCCAGACACAATAGTCCAACGGATTGGTATCCGGAGATTTTGGTGGCCATTGTACTCTGGAAAAGAAACGAGGAACCCAATTTTGTAACCATTCTTGGGTGGCGCGTGCTGAGTGCGATGGTGCTGAGTCCTGTTGGAATGTCCAAGATCTGCGGTCAAAATGTTTGCGTGCCGAAGGCTTTAATAAGCCCTCCAGAATTTTTTCCCGATAATATTCGGCATTTATTCTGATGTCACGGTCGATTAATACGAGCGGAGAGCGGTCATTGGCTGTTATGGCGGCCAACCGAAGGTGCACATTTTCAGCTGACCTCTTTGGCAAGTAAACACGATCATTTTGTTTGCTTACAAACTGCTGGGTAACGAATGTTTTGTCATCGGAGACGGAGAAAACCAAATTCGGCAGTTCACCACTTTCGGCAGAGCGAAGCAACTCCTTAGCTCTTTTGAGTCTATTTTCTTTCTGTTGCGGTGTAAGTTCTTACACTTTTTGGAATTTCAATGGCCTTACCCCGAGTTCATTTTTCAATATTTGTAGAGTGGAATATTGAGATATGTTCAGCTCACGAGTTATTTTTCGCCCACGGCGACGCAGGATTCGATCAAGTTTCTTCTTTACTTTTCGAACCATTTCTGCTGATGTTGCTCTAACGACAGCCACTTGTGGTTTTCCAGTCAAATATAAAGAAATCACACTATCACGCTTGAATTCCAATGGCAGTAAACTTCTAAAATGATACTATTTGGTATTATGTGAACGGATTGAAATTTGGTATGAGAATCAAGGTTGGAAAGCAAGTGTGTGAACTGTACTAAATGGTACAAAATTTAGAACAGTATTAGTTGAACAGATAGTGCTTGAAATCTGAAATTTGATATTAGGGCCGTTGTTCATGTGTAGCCTGGACATATGGAGGTGCTTTCGGGTGAAGGCATAGAGATAAAACTTTTGAGATTTAAATAACTGTGTATATGTGAAATTGAGATATGGAGGAGTTTTGGAAATGTGTTCTACAATTGTACGAAAAGTACTAATTGGTACAAAATTTGATATTGGGTGAAGCAATAGAGATGAAATCCTGAAATTTTGTTTAGAGGTCACTTTTGGTGTTGGTGGCTAAGAAAGTACTAAATGGTACTAAATTTGGTATTGGGTGAAGGGATAGGACTGGAAGCCTCAAATTTGATATTGAAGTCCCTGTTTGTATCTAGAATTGAGATATGGAGGCGTTTTGGAGATGTGTACTATAATTGTACGAAAAGTACTAAATTTCGTATTGGGTGAAGGGATAGCGCTGGAAGCCTTAAATTTGATGTTGAGATCTCTGTCGGTATCTGTAATTGAGATAAGGAAATACGTACTATGATTTTACGAAAAGTACGAAATATGTGGTAATAAATTTGGTATTGGGTGAAGGAATAGAGATTAAATCCTGAAATTTGATATAGATATCACTTTTGTTGTCTGTGGTTAAAATATGGAGGTGATTTTGGAAATATGGACAATAGTTATTCGAAAAGTACTAAATGGTACTAAATTTGGTATTGGGCGAAGGGATAGGGCTGGAAACCTCAAATTCGATATTGAAGTCTCCGTTGGTATCTGGAATTGAGATATGAAGGTGGTTTTGGAAATGTATACTATAATTGTACGAAAAGTACTAAATGGTACTAAATTTGGTATTGGGTTAAAGAATAGGGCTGGACACCTCAAATTTGGTATTAAGGTCTCTGTTGTTAAATGGAATTGAGATATGGAGGTGATTTTAGAAATGTGTACTATGATTATTCCAAAAGTACTAAATGGTACTAAATTTGTTATTGGGTGAAGGGATAAAGCTAGAATCACGAAATTTGGTATTGAGGTCTCTCTGCGATTGAGATGTGATGGAGTTCTTGGAAATTGTACTAAAGTAATTGCACTTAAAGTACTAAATTTGATATAGGGAAAAAGCTGAAATCCTTAAATTTGATACAGATGTCACTATTGGTGTCAGTGGTTAAGAAACGAAGATTGTTTTTGATATAAGTATTATAATTATTCCAAAAGTACTAAATGGTACTAAATTTGGTATTGGGCATGGTACAATGATATCAAGGTAGGGCTATGATACCATATGATTTAATTTTTTTTATTTTCTTGGCTTAATATGTCATCTTTATTTGTTTATGTATGTGTTTTCTTTTCAATAACAAAAAAATTGTTCAGAAAACTTCAAATTCGGGTGTTTTCAAAATGTTTATTTCAACGTATGCATCGACAAAATCTAGGGTTTTTGTAGCGAAATAATCCTTTAGAGATATATAGTACATGATTTTGAAAAGAAGTGTTGACCTTTCATTCAATTATCGCGGTTTTCAATTATTTGTTCAAAATAAATGCAACAAGTTGTTTGATTTCTTATTGTTTTGATACTAATTCTGACATTACAAGCCAAACAGGTAGACCTCTATACTTGCAATTTTTTTTTAAAGTTGACCTACCTTCTCTTCATTGTACCATGGTATTGGGTGAAGGGATAGGGATGAAACCGAGAAATTTGATATTGAACTGTACGAAAAGTTCTAAATGTTGGTATTGGTTAAAGGAATAGAGTTGAAATCCTGAATTTGATACAGATGTTTAACTGTACGAAAAGAACTAAATGCTTCTAAATTCGGTATTGGGTGAAGGAATAGAGAGGGAATTCTGAAATTTGACATTGAGGTCAATGTTGGTTTCAAGTGGATTACATATGGAGACAATGAAATAATTTTGGAGAGAAAAATTGGATGTGGGTACATTGGCTTTATTAATATCGTCTTCGGTAATCTTCAAAATTAAAGATTCTGAAAACTTAGTACGATGTATGAAGTTTTGTTTAAAATTTTTTGTCAAATTGAATAAATTGTCGAATCGAAAATTTTTAGGTTCACTTTTCGCTGACGAAGTAGCGGACACTTGCTAGTGAGTGTATGTACTAGTCAATATATTTGTTAATTTTTAAGTAAAGGTTAATTAAATTAAAATTTATGTATCGTTCGCATAGCAAGAATTGAAAACTATTTGTTACATAGGTTAAATATTTTAATAGTATTTCCCAATATAAAAATATTAAATGCGCCAACAAATACAAACTTTAATTCATATAAATATACCCAAAATGATATAGCATGCCATTAAACCGACCCCTCCCAACTCTTTTGTTATTAAATCCACTTAAATAAAAACCCATGTTTTTGTGTAAAAAATAAATAAAAATAATATATTTAGTTTTTCTTTTATAAATTTGATGAGTACTATTTTGTTTAAGATTTACAAACAATTATTGTTTAACTAAATTGATTGATTAAAAACAAAAAAAAAAATTTGCAAATTGAAAAAAAAAATATAAAAACCACTGATAATTAATCAAATATATTTGTATGTTTAATGGTATCGATTTTTTTTTTAATATTAAGAATCAAAGGACACTTGTATACATTCGATTTCGATATCAATAATACAACTCTTAAAAAAGTTATTGGAAAATAAATGCTATTTATAAGTTCCTTCGATTCTGTATTTTTAACTCCCGAAATTGTATCAAAAATTCCTACTTGATTTTGATTCTGAGATTGTTACAATAAATTTTTGAATTTATAAATAAAAATAGAGGTATTTAAAAAAATAGAGATAAAGAAAAAAATGTATAAAACAAAATAAATCTGCAATTAAATATTACATAAAATATATGAACTTCTATTCTATTTCACTAGACTCTAATACGAAAAAGAGCAGGCAAATAGCAATACAAAGTAGAACATTATCTTTGGAACATAATTAACAAAGATAAGATAGAATTAAAAAAAGAGCGAAAATAAAAACGATAATTAATAAATATAATATTAAATTTCTAAATTTTTTATCCATTTTGTTATATATATATATATATATATATATATATATATATATATATATATATATATATATATATATATATATATATATATTCTATTCATATAATTTTGTTGTTACTACAAAACAAAGGAAACAGAGTTTTATATAAAAATAAAGGCACTGTTTCGTTTAGAGAAAATATTCTTAAAAAGATCATGCAGGATT